ATTTTTCTTCTATATTTACACACGTTGGTACCACCTACTATAATGTAGGCAGATAATTTATTTTTTTACTGTGTACTCCCAACTTGTACATTATGACAATGGCAATGGCAATGACAATTAAATCTATGGTTTTTTTTTAACCACTCTAATGCTTTTGGCCGCAGCTGGTCTTTACAGCTGCACCGGACGTTCGTAAGATATAAGTAAATTTGTCAAGCCATACTGTCCAAGTATCTACACTTGGACAGTATGGCTACCTATACCTATACTATATCTTACATGTAATATAATTGGATGTACATACCATAGATTTAACGTACGAACGTCCGGTGAAGCTGTAAAGACCAGCTGCGGCCAATAGCATTAGAGTGGTCAAAAAAAAAATTTAATCGGAAACGAGCGATACTATTACATACTACTAGCGTACATATGTAAGAAGTTTTAAAAGTGTAAAAAAACACAGATTTTTTTTATTATAATTATACATTATAATTTGTCTTTGAATATAGTTGAAGCAAATACAATTTTACCTTAATAAATATTATATATTCGACATGTTTTTTCCTATAATTTACAACAATTCGTAAAGTAAAATAATATAGGGTTCTTTTTCAGTGGTAACTGGAATGGTAAGCAATAACGACTCATCTGATGGTACCCGTTAGGTACTTTTATATATATATATGAACAGCTCAATCACGGGAGAGTTGTGTTACCTCTTATTCCTGACGATATGTCATTCCTCTGAAATCTGGCAATTGCACTGCCATTTCTGATCCTTCAAATTCAAATAGCTTACAAAACAAGAGGTTTAACGAAAGAAATAGGTGACACCAGTAGATATACAGGCATGTGTCTTTGTACAAAGTCCACTTCGGTACAATCGTTAGGTTAAATAGAAAAATGTCAAATTCAAAACCATGACTACAACATACAACCAAGTTGGGTCATTATGTTTTATTCATAAGAAGACTCAGTAATGTACATTGTGAATTTATATTTGCAATATATCACAAAAGCAAATATAATACTAAATATGCCCTTTTACAAACCTACTTAGTGTTTAGATAATAAACATATTTTTGTAGGTCTATTAGAGTACCTTCATAGTATAAAATAAAGTCGCCGTCTGTTCTTATATCTTTTAAATTACGCATCGGATTTTAATGCAGTCTTCAGCAATATGTAGAGTGATTCAAGATGAAGGTTTATATATATAGAATAAGCCAACGAATTTAAAAGACTTGTAATGCATCCGTGCGAGTCCGGACGAGTTGCTAGTACTATATAAATAGTAATACTGAAAAATCAATAATATATTAGTGGTAACATATATTACCCTTGCCTAAATACCTAATACGTGGGGAAGAAGGGGATTGTTAGTAACTCTTATTGCTAACAATGTACCATGTCAGGTTGATCTCCACGTGGTTCCCCTTGGAAACCATCGTGATAAATTCTTGGTGAATTTGTCACTATGGCTAACTGACCTAGCTTCATGCTCATCTTATCATCCTCCATTGGTGCCCCGCCAGCGTAAACCGTTAGCATCAGCGTGTCCACCATATCATAAAAAATCTCCTTATTTTCTTTATTTTCAACTTTGGGATGATTGAGTCAATCAACAAATCCTACTTGCATTATTTCTTATAGCCTCGGTGGTCTTGCGGCTTGGCTCACTGTTTTACTTCCGATAGTCGTGAGTTCGAGTCCTCGCACATTGCAAACATTTGTATTCTTGTGTATGATTGTTTGTATCGGTCTGGGTGTTTTCTATATAGGTATGTAATTAAAAAAAAAACTGAGTATTTTATCAGTTGTCCAGTACGCATAATACAAGCTCTGTTTACTGTTGGTTTAAATGGCGCTGTGTTAATTGTCAAGGGTTATTTATTTTATAATAATAATAATACTAAAACAATCTCTTATATTGTTAGATATATACTTAATCAAAACAAGCCACACTAGAAAGGAGTCATTCACAAGGCAACACCATCTCCAAGTCATTATCCTCGTCGAGCCGTCGAGAATACTATATTAATATCATGCAGCGGTCAAAAGTTAATCGGGTTTAAGTCGTTCGCATCGCCCACGAAGATTCATCACAATCGTCATTATTCACACACAAATTACGTAATTTCAATAAATGGAGCTTATTGAATAGTGATGAGCGTCGGTAGGCCGTGGATGAACCCCCGTCGTGTACTTCCACCAACGAAATCGTCTTTTATAATAGTATACAGCAACTGCAGCCCAGAATACTGTTCATTGACGCTACAATATTATATTCATAAAACTGCATTCACTTATCCAGCAATGTATCATGTTTTTATATGTTACTACGGGATTGCAATGGATTGTTTAGTACATATCTCTCTCAATAAGCACTTAGATGCTCATTGTCTAAAATAAATGTATTTTGTTTGAATAAATCGAGCGGGTGCTAGTAGAGGTCGCGATGGGTGTTAATGAATCTTATGATAATAAGCACAGAGTTTGGATGGATATCTGTCACTACGTATGTTGCTCCATTGAAAGAGTACCTATGTAACAAATCGTATGCATACGATCGTCAATAACTGCCACTTAATTAAAAACCTAATGATAAAGTTCATTAGGTATATATCTTAAATAGATTAAAATAATATTTATATAATAGAAGTGAAATCGTCACTAGATATAGCAACAACATAATGGTAGCTTCATTTATAAGTAAAATAGCCAATAGTTTATATTGCGTTCTAAAATAACCACGCTTACAACTTAAAATTTTATCGGTAATATGTAATATCAAGCAAAAAAGGGTTGTGACCCTAAAAGGGCGCCATCATTTTACATACATTTTTTTTTAATTATAAATATCATGTATTATGATATTTATATTGTTCATTGAATTCTAAATTTAATGAACTTCCCTTCTTTGTAGTTGTATTCTCACAATTATTTCGTAATTCAAATTATGCTCAATAAACTGCCAACTTTGTATATGATACTATAATTGAATTCTTAAGTACCTATTGATAGGTATACAAATACCTAATAATAATTTATCTTGTACGTTAAAGAAAGGAATACCTAACTACCAACAATAACAGAGCGCCAAGCGAGCTCATAGCTTGTCTGTAATTGATTTATAGGCAAATATTAAATCTGTTCTCACCAGGCCTCTCCATGGCTAATGACCGTACCAAATACTGTTTGAGGTTTTGTTTTTCAGCTATTTATTCATGTTACTCACACTCGTCAGCGCTTGATTGACACATTGTTTCGTATTTCATATACAAAGTTTATGTAGCGAGTATTCACATAATGAACTGCTCGAGCGGAATAACGTAACGAATTCACCTCCATATCGATCAAATGTGTAATCCCAATATAAAATGTCAACAAAACGTCCGAACTCACCAGCATCACACTTATCAAAACAATACAAAACGCGGGATGTTATCGATAATGATCGCGGGCACGACAACCCTCTAATTCCATTTTTTGTGGGTTGACATCGCGCTAATAATACTCATGAGAAAAATGTGCGCCGGACCCCCGTCATCCTCCTTTTGTTTTTAATTTCAACCTCAGTGGCACCGATTTAATTGGGCTCAACTCGAGCGAGCGCACCTTCGTATTTCACCTCGGCTCGCTTCATTTGAATATTTAAAGCATTTCGGGTCCCCGGCGCATTATTTTCTTTATTTACACAATATTTATATATTTATTTCAGGTCCAGCGTCATTTATTTGGTGACGTGACTTACCGATGTCGCGTCCTTCCCAGTATCGACATAGTTAACGCGGTGAATTCTCTCGCGTTCCATTTAAAAGTTTTGAGTTCTTTCTTTGGTTTGTCTTTTTTATAGGGCTGCGTCGCTGCCGCGTGTGGCGAGCTCCGCTCTTCGTTGTTTTCTGGCCAGCTCTTATCTTGGACAAGATTCTCTCGTTTTTAAATGAAGTTATATCGCCCCGATTGAACACCCGGCTACGGAGCCGAGGCGAATTTTTAATTAGTTTCCGAAGATAGAGAATTTTAAAAGAGGAATGCAGGAGCCATGTCGCGAGTGCGCGCGGATTTCTTAATTGAGACGTAAAGGCGCGCACCGTTGCGAACACCACAAGGCGATTTGTTAAATGCAACGAGATTAATTATGAATTAAAGACTTGAATCGTAACCGTCCACTACCTACATGCTAACTGAATTTTCTGGTATTCACTAACGAAGAGAGAATTAATGAACATCATTTTTCGTAGTGCCGACGCTTGCGTGTTCTGTGTACATTCACTTTCTTCGCATCATTGCCGTTTCTTGCAAGCAAAATAAAAAGTATAATATCGTCATTGCATTGTCTTCATTTTATTATTTGGGGTTGGCGCAGGATGTATTCTTTTACTCATTTCTATCATTCGTTATACTGAAACTCACTCTCCTTTTTTACGTCTCAAAGTTATATAATTCATACATCTTTCCATCAACTGTGCGATCCTTTAGGACTATTCATATTAATTTCCAATGCTTTCTATCTAAAGCATGTTATTTATTAGAAGAATATGTACCTATACACCTCATTACACTTGTACAAAAATAATGTCAATAGGTTTACTTCTCTGTCATCATTTCCTACAACTTACAGATTTCCTTGGTTCTTCATTCAGTCATGCTATGCTATATCATCACACGTTCATTTTATAATTCATACAAAATAAGATTCATGCTTATTATATGTAAATTACACCATAGAGAGAGCGAATTCAAATCTAGTCTCCACAAAAAAAGTGATACTTTTGATTGACTCTCCGGTGATGGAAACGCCGACATCTCAATCAATCAATAGGCTCAATGCCCTGCCTTATTGTTTTTAAATATACCGACCGTACTCTGGATGGTAAGTTTTGCGTTCACTATAATATCGATAGTTGACAATGCCTCTGACTAACTCACCGGGGACTACAAGCACACCATATGTATATTGTTTTATTAAAATATTATTATTGTAAATTAATACTAAATAATAATTAAGTCGTATATTTTATGTCTATTAAATATTGACAGATAAATTATAGAGAAGGCACCAGAGCAACGACATTAAAGCCAATATTGTCAGGATCTCGTGCCATGAATTCGCGGCAAACTTTTGCAGCGTCTTCTAACAGACTCTCAGGTGTCGTAGGCCCGTGGTTTATGGGAAAAGTCTTGCGGCCATCCAATTCAAATAACGTTCCATCCTTGTGTATGAACGTCACGAAATGATTACTAGGATCTTCATTTGACTCTTCAGGTACGGAAGAACCTGTATGAACAATATCCTTGTAAGCTTCTAGAATTGCAGTAGAATTCTCGAGTAATGCTCCCTTAGCTGCTGCATCAAGACCTTCAGCATCTTTTAGGTATTTTTTCAATGGTCCTTCTTTCAGTTCTATATTGTGTGTATTATTTGCAACACTATGTACCAAAGCAATTGTTCCACAAACATTGCTAAGGACTTGACGCAAATGGAATACATCTTTGGGGGGTTCTTTGTTCACCAAGTTATTTTCTTCTTTGCGTCTGAGCTGTTCATAGATTTCCGACAGTGGAAAAAGTAAGACAACGGCAAGCACAGGCCTCGGCACCCAAGCTAGTGCATCACTTTCCAAACCAATAACATCAACCATACGCCATTTTTCAGAAACGCCTAACTTCAACAAATATTTATTCATAGTGTCTGGATTAGATTCCATAGGCAAAGCAAGCGACATTACGAGGGATAAAATAAATTATATAAACTAATTTATCAATAAAATTTCACGGTAATCTGTCAATTACGTCAACATAGACATTTCTTTTTCAAATGGAAGATCGTTAGTTTTTTTTACAAAATTATCCAACAAGCCTTCTTTGTACTTGTAATATAAATACAATGTAATAATAATTTTCACTTCTATAAAATAAATCAAGTACATGTCCAATTAGCAATACAAATTAATTGTATTTACTAGGTAAAGCCATTTGGCGTGTACAAAATATTAATAAATCGCAACAAAAAGGTCAAAAATATTTTCATTTGAACATGTGTGCTCCTTGGGATTATTTAGGGCTATTTAGGCACTATGGTGTAGAATATCCACACAAACACATAATAGATTATTGTATAAAAATTACCTCAGGAAGGTAGGTAGTTATAGTCAAATGTTTGAGATTTGCAAGAATAATCCCATATATTGCTGTTAAAACGTAAATTTTATTCAAATAGTGAAATATCAACGTCTTAATAGCTCAAGCGTCTCGTAGATTACAATCGTCGAAGCTATTTCCACTGTCTTTAATTATTGACACTGCGAACTTAATTGTTATTAATTAACCGGCAGATAAGAGGCAGGTGACCAGACTGCATACATTTCCGACGTTCGTGGCTTCACACGTTACGGTCCATTTAATGTTTGTCCATTCATTTTTACAATTAATAAGAGGTTATTAATGCTGCTTAAGTGTTGGACATGAACACAGTCGGCTTTAATAGGGTTATATCATATTGATGTATTACATATTCATGTGCGTACTAGACAGAGGCACATACTAATGTTGTTATTACAATTAGCAACTTGTTTATACCTCATTAATCGAGTATTTTATTTTATTGTCTATTGAATGTCAAAAGGAAGGGTTACGCTAAATCTTAGTCAAATGTAAAGAAATTAGATGATTTTCCAAAAAAGTGTTATGCAGTGGTTGGAGAAATTAATATTTTAGATTCGGATCTACTGCCTATCTACTATGTCGATAACAAAAATATATAAGCAAATTGGTCCCTAATTAAATATTTTTAATACAAAAAGGTTGTTGTTATTAATTAGATTTGCACTACGATAATGGCAGCCAGTTGTCTTCTTAGTGATACGCGATTACTACAGGAGGTATGATGCCATCAACATCAGTGACGACAAATATGCGGTTTCCAACTTTAAAAAAAATATGTGTAGGTACATTCTAGGTATTTACTACAAACTCCCAAACTCCCTTATTAAATTACTTACTTTATATTATTTTGTTTAATTCCACTACCATTAGCATGCGTGGGACCACAAATATTAAGTGAGGAAACCAGACCACCGCTACCTTCTCTATTGGCGATCAGATTCCGACCGTTATTAAATCTACATCCATTGTTAATTCCCCTTATCAAACTTGTATTGTAGAATTAATTAATTATAAACCTAACTCGACTAGAAAATGTTACTTTCGCTGTTATAGATGCACTGAAATTAATTAAAAGGTCATTCAGGACACTAACGGCGGCGACCTTTCACACAATTTCTCCACATAGTAGACTTCAATGGGTCGCATTTAACACTCTTGTGTCGATTTTCAATGAGTTTGTTGCGGCACCACTCTCATTGCCTCAGCACGCGCTTCCCCCTCATTATGGTGTCAATTTTTGTCAAACACTCGGCCTCCATCCATTAAGGGTACCATTGAGGCGGAGCTATTGAGAAGTTATAGGTTGTGGTGCAGACTGCAATGTGGTCAGAAGATATGTCTTAATATATTTGGTGGCATATCTTCTGAACTTAATTTTTTTATTATTTACATATAGGTAAAGAAATAGAATAAAGAAATGAGTAATAATCTATTTTTTTTATTACAAAAATTGTGCAGACAATTTTGCACACTTATGAGTATAGTTTATATAGAGAGGGAGTGCAGAATCTTAATATTTTTTTTATATTTTTCTTAATTTATGTAATAAAAAAAACATTACATAAACACTATGTATTTGACACTTACTTACTTTTACAATAGAACCTTAATAATTGTTCAAACTTATAATTTAAGTTAATTATTGTCGAATTTCTAGCATTGGGCGACCACTAGTAAAGATAATTATGTGATGCATGTAGATGAATAGGTAAATTGCTATATTTGATTTATATATTTTATTTCATATTTATTTATAGATTGATATATATTATATGTATTTGTGTATGTACATGCATGTGTTTACATGTATTTACTTTTAGTATATGTAATTTTTTTTGACCTATTGTTTTTTTATTGATTATATTTGCATCGCCTACAATTTTTCTCTGCACAACCTGTGGTTGACTGGTAGAAAATGCCGTAAGACGTTAAGTCCGCCATATGTACTTTTACCTTGGTATTTTGTTCATTGAAGTTATATAAATAAATAAAAATAAATAAATATTCTATGCTTGAACAAGATCACTTAGTTATGGGTACTAGACAACTAATGTAAATACATAGATACTTTTTATGTAAATATATTCAACATACACAGAATATATCCAGACAAGAATTCATGAGTAGGAATGATTAAACAAATGATTGTAGGTATTGTGCGAAGAATCGAACCTGCGACCATCGGATGTATGGCGGTGTGCTAAACCGCTAGACCACGATTCCGTCAAAAATATCAATAATGTACATCTTCGTATATATCTTCAGATAGTCTTTCGTGTATAGAATGCGTAGTGTCTGGAGGCGTGGCGAAGTGTCCGCGCTCACTACCTTCAATTACGGACTAAGAGTGCTTATTATTTAGAAATTCAATCGGTAAATACAATAATTGTTTCGCATGACGACGCGCCTCTAGTGACCGCGAAGAACCTCTAGAGACGAAGTGAACTTTCAGTTTCTCTTTAAACTACAATATTAAATAACACACACTTAAATAACATTGCATAACACACTCATATTACTAGTGACGCATCTTGGATTTTCTTAGCACACAATAATGTAGGATATATACGTATGTATAATTTTTTTTTTCACGTAAATTTCGTTATTTATCGTCTCATTATTTAAAAAATATCTATGTACCACATTTTGTTTCAATCAGTTCAGTAATTTTGGCGTGAAAGTGCTACAGATAGACAGTCAGATTTACTTTAATTCACGTAGAATTTGTGTAGATATGGGCCTAAATAAGCACGCAAATATTTTACGTAAGACTACCCATTGTTACCACTTTGCCACTTTTTAATATCTACTTATTAATTTAATTATTGTATCTTTATTAGTGTAGCAGCAAAGTTACTTGCCATCCTAAAAAAGTTAAATAATAAGTAACACAACTAAAATTTGAAATAAATATCCGCTCTGCTCTTTCTTAATCGTGTAGACTAATGGGTACCTAAAGATTCAGTATTTTTAACTATGCAAAATAGTATTAAAATTGGTTGATTCTACAAAATACTTACGTACCTAAGTATATAATTTCTGTGATCGATAAACAAATTAAAAATACTGTTCGGTTTCGGCATTTTAAGAATTCAAAATTCAATTTATACATAATATAGGTACATATAAAGCACCCAGATCTACACAAAAAATATACTCATAAATACAAATGGTTGTACCGTGAGAGAAATCGAACCCGCTACCATCGGAAGTACGAAAGGTGGTGTGTAAACCGCTAAACCACTCAGGCCTTAACATAGGCACAAGTACTTAAATGTGATGTTTACTGATCAAGTTTACGTCGTTTATAAATAATAATTCATTTCTTCTCACAAAACGTAGGTAATAGGTATACATATTATATAACTACATATAGTATAGTATACCATATAACTATATACTTGATCAATAAATATCCTGTCCAGTAACTCTTGAATAAATAGTACCTAGTATACAATCGGGATTTTAAAAAAATGCGTTATATTTTTTATGCAATCTACTTATAATTAAAATAAATTGCTATATCTATGTTAACGAACCAATTAAATCTTAAAACACCGCGGTAAATGCATTCCCTAGTTGAATTCCAATAAATTTTCTGGATAACAGTTGACATATACATTTGTCTGCGGGTATCAGCATATACCTATTTTTAATTACGTTTATTTAGCACTAGTGACCCGCCCCGCCTTCGCTTGGGTGCTCATAACTTTGTGAGTTTTATATCTACATATTAACACTTGCTGTGCCCGCGATTACACCCGCGTTAAATTTCATGCTGTGTTATGCTGATGCATATGCTATATTACTGTAACCTTTAATCAAAATCCGTTCAGTAGTTTTTGCGTGAAAGAGTAACAAACATCCATAGAGTCACGTGGGGCAAGTGTGCGCACTTAAGGTTTGAAGTATCATATAATAAAATATTTGAAGTTAACTGGAACAAAACAAGGTTTATTATATAAAATATTTAATAATCAACAACTTAAACGCAAAATAAATAATTATCATTTACACAAATTCTTTGGAAATCAACAAAATCAAAACTGTTTAAATGCGCACACTTACCCAAGTATAGGGGTAAGTGTGCGCAGTAGTGCCGGTAAGTGTACGCAACATGTAACATACAGTAAATAGAGTCAGACTCATACGATAAACCAGAAAATAGACATCCTCAACCTAATAATACATCAGTTCAAATAATTCCTTTTCAAAGTTATTGCATTGTTCATGCCACCAGCTCTTACAGATGCTGTATTGGATCCAGTCTTCATTCGGTGGAAATATGTATTTTTCTCCACACAGTGGGCAAAATAATTCCTGCTCATCATTTTATTTATTTTCAGATCAAGTCGTATCTTCTTTTTTGGCAATTTATTCTTCCTCTTGTTTTTTGTTTTTCCAATTCTACTTTATAAGGACTTACAGTATCAATGATTGACTTTTTGCCTTTCTTTCGCCGATTTTGAATCACAGTCATTCATCCAAGAAATGCAAAAGGCCAACATCGGTATTTCTTGGATGGATGACAGTCGTACATATTCATTCCTAGACGAAGGTACACTCATTATTGCGGGTGCCACAGTGTCGTTTGCTACCAACCTCTGAAATTAATCTTTTAACAGCTTCTAGCT